ATATGATATTTTGAACATATTTTCTGAACATTTCTTGGACTCATAAAATAAATAGGCATCCTACTGAATCTAAAATCATGTAGGAATTTCCTTTTTATGGTTACTAATGTAAATTAGGTGAACTCTGTTTGGGAATACTCTTTGAAACTGGAAATGTTTCACATTTCTTTTAAAAATAGCTAGAGCGACTAAGAAATCAATTTGACCTTACTAAAATTGTCTCCATTTCTTTGGAGGCTATTTTAAAAACTGACTCTTTGTCCCCTCACCAGCATAACTGTTGTCATATTTTCAACAAATATTCCCATTAGAGTACAGACATTTTATATATAATCACTTGCTGACTATATTATGATTAGGCAACGAATCAATGAAAAGCATGGCTATTATAAGAAAGTTGAAATGTAACATTTTTTAAATATTAGTGACCTATTACTTAATCTATATGACCTATGGAATTGTGGTTTTAGAATGTTACCAATAAATTAGAATTATCATATGAAAGTGTAAGTAAAATATAACTAGTGCCAAGATGTAGCAAACTTGTATAACAGGAAAACATCAATTATACTCTTAGCTAGACTTTACTTTTGTGGTTGAGATGGAAGCAGTTTAACAATCAAGTTGGTTAAGTCTTTTGTCTCTTGATACCTTTAGAGGTATTTGTCAATGGACAAACCAAATAACACACTACAGGCTCAGTCTCCTCTGCTTGGAGGTGTGTGATGAGAAACTGCCTTCACAATAGCTGGGATTTCCTGTTCAGTTTAAGTGACTCTTTGACAAGAAATCTACTTTTTCCAGTGTTGCTTTACTCTGCACCTTCACAGGGGAGTCTGTGTAAACCGCAGATTGGGTTTGTCTGTTTCCAAGAGTGACCAGATCTCCCTCTGGAGGATACTGCAGTCTCTGTCCATGAGGAGGTATGTGTTCCTGCTGTCCTGTCTCTCGCCATCCATCATTGATTACAAATGCTGTGTGTGATGCCACAATTGATAGGGGGTAAAGTTATAGAAATTGTTATCCTTATCGAGTAATTCACAATGGATAATAATCATAAATATGCAACATTTTAAAGATTATCTTAAATATTGAAAGTCTTTACTATGTGGAGGACAATTACTTAGGTGCATATATACAAAGAAAACTGGGGTTAAATCTATTGAATTTTATATGAAACCCCATAATTTTACAAAATGGAACAGTTTTTTAGGAATTTGCCATCAGAACAATATAATGCTATATTCATATTATTTATTGTTGGGTCAGGTTTTTATACATAGATTCTCAAAATGAATTCATTAATCAGAATGTCAAATAACTTTCCTCTTATAGTTATTAATCATATTAAACCCCATTCAACTTTTCATACAAATGAGGACGAAGTAGTGCCACAAAATTCTAACTTATATACTTTGAAAAGTTTTCTTTTTTTAATTCAACTAAACATTGCCAAGAAGATACACACACTGATAGAAGAGACTCCTGTCTAAGGAAGTAGGCTGAATGGTATAAGTTTTTTGAATGTGAAGTAAGGTGTTTTACATGTATTACATATATGTATTTTTATTCTAGTATTATATTTATAAGCTAAATTGGTGATATTATGTAAATTTTGTATGTTCCAAAGTAAGAATTAATTCCACTCTTGAGGTGCTCATTGATTCAATTATCAATTTACATTATCTGATATATTCCAGTTGTCAATACAATTACAGTCCTCCTGGATATTTAAACCGATAGTATTGTCCCTTAGATGATTTTTAATTTATCATTTTATACTTTCTTATCTATTACATTCATTCACTTACCAAATTTGAGTATATAGTAACTGCAATTTTCATATGTTTGACTCTCCAATATTGTTTAGGATCTCAAGAAGCTAATGAATCACATATTATTTTTTATATAATAAATATTCTCAAAATGTAATGATTATTTAAAACTCCACAATATTTGGAGAAAAAACACCATTTTTCACCACCCATCACTTTTAGAAATAAATGTTAGTCACTATACAAATATGCAGGAAATTAATACAGATCCTAGCACAACTGTTATATACTATTGAACATTCAGTCTTTAATTATTAAAGTTAGCACTTTTTTTTCTAATATAGCACTGTAACAGTTAATGTAATAGCTTCAAAATTTTGTTAGGGGTGAGTTTAAATTAATGTGGATGTTATTATTCGTAAAACTTTCCACATTAATATTTGGTCTGCTATTCACCCAACCATTAGAACTATGTGAAAAATAAAAATTGCATTGTTTAAATTATTTTATATCACAGTAAAGCTTTTTTAAGCAATAAGGAAATTTTACTCAGACTTGTCTATGATTCAAGTGCAATATGAGTTTATTATTCTCCGTGCTCCGCCCACACGACTGCACCAGGGCCCTGGCCATCCCGGAGGCGGTCAGTAAGGACTCACCTGCAGCTGTCAGAGCACCGTCCCTGAGACGACTCAGCTGCAAGAGTGAAGGACCGCACAGAGAACTCCCAGGCACTGAATCTGGACCCAAGGCCGCTGGAAATGACAGGTAAGAGCACGAAAGCTCCCCTTCACCAACAGAAGATCAGATAACCTCTGTGGAAATAAATTTTGAAAATATTTTTCAGGATCTTCAGGAGAATAACAAGTATAGATCTGCAAAGTTGGAACATTTACTAGACACATGCAACTGTTCTGGGCTGAGCAGTCGGGAGCCACAGTGTGTAAGAGTAGGGGATAAACTCACATATTCCGGTGTGAGAGTTGAAGATTGAAATATGAATATGCCATTGTAATCTGAAACGAAAGGACTAATTTAGTTCTTGTATTATTGAGTGTTGGAGTCTTTGGCAACAACTCAAGGAGTATTATGTTTACAGAAAACGCAGTATAATTTCTGGCGGCCACAGTATAGTTCATCCGGATTACAACCCGGGATGCGGGTCTGGGTTCCACCTCCCACGTGTGACGCCTGCGCAGGCTGATCTCGGGTCTGCAAACTGTCAGCATTCGTCTCATCTCTTCTCAGTGTTTCCATTTCTCCCCCTGCAGACTCGCCCTCACCTCCGGGGATGATTGCTGTTGAGGACCTGGGGATCGTCTTGCTGCCCACAGTCGTAAAAATCATAGCTCTCATCGCTTGTAAGAACAACTTTGAAATATCCCAGGCATGTTTAATGCTCTAAGAGAATGCCAGTGACTCTCAAGTTCTAAATATTTTGTAAAATAGTTTTGATTTATTACATGATTTGAAACAAGATATCGATTGTTTTTACATTTGTACAAAATATTAAATTTACAAGCATATACTTATAAAAATATTTATTTTAAGAAATATATTTGCTGTATAAAAATTGTATCGCAAAGTATATTTTTACTTGTAATAAATATATAAATATATACAGATTATGTAAAGATGTGCATATACAAATATATTTTGACTTCTACAAAAACGACATAAAAAACTAAAAAATTGTATAAAATGCAAATTAAGTCTTGAGATATGTTAAAGTAAGTACTTCAGTATGTTGTGAATTATTTATATTTGAATTTATTCCTAATCGTCTATGACTTTTAGTTTGTCTTTCTAATATCAATTTTGTTTTATATTATTCTAATCTAAAGCAATAAAATGAATTAAAATTTAGAAACTTCAATAAATATATTTACTCAGACCAATGAAATTTTATAAGGATTCTTTAAATTTTTTCTAGTTTCTATAAAGCTGAAGAAGAACTATTGGCCAACATTAGCAACAAAAGGTAAATAATTGTTTTCAAAATATCAATGTTAGTACAGTTAATTTTTAATATACCTCTTACTCTAAGCAGTAAACATGTCTCCATATAAAATTTCTGTATGTGACTCCCTGTGCATGAACATTCTCTTATCTGTGAACTGAACACTTGTCTCCGTCTCTCCTTTCTCGGTCTCCATCTCTCTCCCCGCAGGCTCACCGGCTCCTCCCGAGAAGAGCATAGCTGGGGTCTTGGGACTCACCTGCCTTGTGTTGATATGCGTTATTGTGTCAGTGATTGTTAAAACCCCAGGTACATTTATGGAAGATTATAGTGGACTTTTCCCATAACAATTGTCAGTGCCTTTAAATATTTCATAAGAGGAATAGAACTATTATGTTATATATGGGTTTAGGTAAATGTTAAATGTTTAATCATATCTTCTCAAAATTATAAATATACAGAATGACTGTAGACATTATTTTATATAGATTCAGATCTCATGATTCAAAGTCACATTTTAGGAGAATGAGAGAACCTATTGAAAACTATGAAATAATATTTGAGAATTGGTAACCACATACTGGAGCAGATGGTGAAATTTGACTCTGAATTTTTGTGACATTTTACCCAAAGCTTTATTCTTGTATTAGTTTTCAGGAGAGTCAACTTTATTACAGTTTATTACTATAACTCTACCAACATATATTTCTAACTTATAAATATTATTGTATTGATTATTACTTACTTAAAACACTAATAATATTTACAAGAGTTACTTTGGTTTTTTCTAGGTACCAAAAATTCAGAGCAGGGTGATTTATCCATAGAAAAAAAGAACCAGAAAGGTAAATGATGATTTCCAACATTCTGATGGTAATAAAGTTTATATTGTATAAATGTTAGGCTCTGTAAAAAGAGTAACACATTTTCTGGTAGAGTATACATTATAAAGTCAAATGATGAATGTCCATGAATAATGATAATTGGGGTCATCATATACAAGATCGGGAAGAAAATTCTCTAGGAACCTCCACATCCATGTGGCCAGTTGGCTCATGTCCTGCTGCTATTAGATGATAGAAACAATTTTACTATTAAAACATGGCTTCATTTACTGATTGTCAGGACATACACAGTGGACATTTCCGGTTTGAATTTGGTTTCTATCTGGGCATAAACTATAGCATGAGAGGCTGCCCCTTCTGTCTGTGGGTAGTTTGTACCCACTGTGAGTGTGTGGGGTGTTATGTCTGTGCATGTTCATATCTCAGCATTTATATGTTGTGTCTTATTACTACAAATAAATTTAGGTAATAATTCAAAATCTCTCTCAGAATACAGTTGCAGCTTTTGCCCACATGGGTGGTTCTCCTACTCTAACAGTTGCTATTACTTTGCTGGTGAGAAAAAGACCTGGAATGAGAGCGTGACCGACTGTCAGAGAATCAACTCTCAGCTGCTCTACATAGACAGTGAGGAAGAAAAGGTAAGAAATTCAGTGTCCCAACCACCTCATAGAAGATTTATTCTGGTCAATTTTATATTCATAGACTCATACATATTTTTGTACATACCTGTAGTTTAAAGTTTGTATAATACTCCATTGTTTGACACTAGTATTTTATTAATATTTCTGGACCTTGAGTGCACACTTGAAAAGCCCAGTGCATGGCTTTCATAGAGAACCTTGTTTCCCAGATGTACATATTTAAATAGACATTGTCGTTTCATACATCAAGTAAAGGCAAGCATATTGTGATCAGACAGGTTAATCAACATGTGAATGGAAATTGTATCTGTGGAAAAGATCATGGATTCAAGTCCCAGCCTCTGCGCAACCAGTCACATGTCTGTTCTCTTCCCTCCTGCTGTCTGGGTATCTAACCACTGACATGTGATTTCATGTTGGGAGCCAGGGGCGTGTGCTCTTGGGGCTTCTGTCCTGAGCCCACAGCCAACCCAGCAGGATGACCTGAGAAGGCAGCAGACAGTCGATCATGAGGCTTAGACAGATGAAGTCTCCTTGTTGTGACCTTCAAGGCAGAACATGAAGCTCAGCATGGAAATGCCCCTTCCTGCTGTTGCCAAAGTGGCACCTCCTGGTACCTCCAAGGTGCTAATATTGCCAATTCATCACCGTGCCCGCCTTCCCTTGCGCGCAATAGTGTAAATAAATGAGCAGAGCCAATATTGGGTCTCTGCATCCTGACAGCCCCCAGTCCCAGCTTTCACTAGCACTTCTGCCTGCCCTTCACCTACACGTTCTCCTTCAGATCCTGCTAGACACAGCGACCATGGAAAGGTCATCTGGGGGGTGGCGGGGTCTGGGCTGCTGCCCCAAGGGCACACACTGCTGGCTCCCAACACTTTCATGATTTCTGTTCTTGTTTGTATGTTTAAATGCATATGCATTTGTTCGTGTCTCATCACTCCCCTATAATCCCCCAGTAACCCTCTGCAGGATTGCATTTACCTGCTATTTGCTAATTTTTACTGCAGACTTTTGATGCAATATTTTAATATTTACTCTCTTAA